AATTTTGTCCTGAAAGCCTCGGAGCCAAGTCAGAATATTGATATATCAAACACAGTTACTATGTTTTTATCCGCACATAAATGTTTTATGTCTTTTTCATATTTGCTGTCGGCCTGTTCCTTACAGGTGTAGTTAAAGTTGGGGATTCACCTGAATTTGTATTACAATCTTTAATGTTTCGACGCTCAGAACACGTTTTCCTTTACCGTCATGTCAATCAATTTTGGTTTCCATCGTGACACAAGTAAATATTTTTGTCTTCACAATGATTCATTCTTTCATATTATCTCTGAGTAAAACGTCTCTGGCCAGTCAACCGTAAATATAATTTGCAACTTTTTCAGGAAGGTTTTTCTTTGGGCTAATAATATGGCAAGATGTAATTATCCATTTGATCGAAAAATATTGATTAAGTGTTAGATGTTTGAAATTGATTTCTCTCTCACTTTTCGGTTGGAAATAGCCGTAAGTCAAAATAGGAAATCAGATAAGGTGTGAAAACAAAAATCATCGGTTTTCGTGCTTGAAGAGGCAGAATTTTTTTTTCCCATGGGACAAAACATAACCGTAGTGAAATTCATAACTAATATAACTGGTAATTTGCAGTACTAGTGGCATTGTTATTTTCGAGCCGTAAAACCCAAATCGTGGGCAATTGCGTAACAACTGAGTAAAATGTATTAAAATATATACTAAATTTTCATATACTGAAATTTGCATCTTGCAGCTGCGGTGTTATTCTCTATTTGTGGGAGAAAAGGCCAAAATTCAACTTAAATGAAACTAACTAGAAACAACCTTGAAAATTTGGGAAAGGATGTCATTGCGAAAATAATGCCACTAGGGTCCTGGGCATAGTGTCTAAGAGATTCTTCGAGAGGTCTTTTCCAGTTTAACACTCCTGTCCGTTTAATAAATACGTTTCAGTTGTCTCACATGAAACAGTATCTTTGAGAAGAGTCCTATTATTTCAGGTTTATCATCACCTTAAGTGATGAAATAAATCACTATCAATATAATATATAGAGGATTATACATGGGCACGCATAGATACGGAATTCAAGTGTTCAACTCGATATCTCACGAGTGATTATCATATAAACATACTAATTAAGACGTTT